TTTTTTTTTTTTTTAAAAAAAAAAGGGGGGGGGGGGGGATTAATGTGATGAAAAAGAAAGTAAAATTAAATTGAGATAAAAAAAAATATTTAATTAAATTATTTTTTTTATTAATATATTTTTAAGGAATGACCAAAAACATATGAGAAGTAAAATGGAACGGAGGAATATATACTTGTTTGCAAAATAAATTGTTATTATTACAAATAAACTATGACGAAATATTTTATTGATGAATATTTGTGAGTATTATTTTGTTCCTTCAGTGATTCTTCTCTATAAGTTTTATTTATGATTCAAGAAATGTTAGTAACGTATTTATTGAATAAATATATAATTATTTGGACCTCTTTGCAATGTATTTAATCTCTATAAACGTCTGTTTATATTTCCTTGTCTCTTAAAAAGAATATATATCCCTTTTTATAAATATAAAATAAATTTAGAATAAAATAACTTTTAAAAATTCTAACAATATCGAACACACTCATAAAATTTTGATGTCTACACTGGCTGGCGTAAGAATAAAAGAAAGAGTTGGGCAAAGAGATTCCTCACACGATGTTAGAATTTAAATTTAGCAATGGAGCATTATCATAGGAAAGTGTAAAAAGCAAAGAATATGGCATGTCAGAAGAAAATATTATAAGTAATTTTATTTTTGGTGACATTGGAGTTTGGGACATGGGCATGTAAGAGGTTTCGAGACGAAAAATTGAAAACAAAATACTTTTTTTTTTTTTGGGGATAATATAAAAAGGAATGTGGTCACATTTTGTCCATAAGGGATGCCCATTTTATTGATTGGACTACTCCATGCCATATATATATACGTATAAAACATTAAAATATCATTCTTTGGAACTTTTAGTTTATTGAGGGTCCATTTAATCAAATTTTTAGAGTTACATTTATTGGACTTATTTTAATTTATTGCACAAAAAGTACTTTATGCTATACTCAATATTTATCAAAAGTCATATCAAAATTACTACAAAAGTTTATTGAGGATCAACTTATTTGGCTCTTGAGAGCAACAAGTGACGCTAATAAGTAGTTTGTCACTACTAAGTAGCTCATTACATAAATGTAAAATTAATAGATGATAACTTCAAATATTTATAATTTATTATTTTACTAATATCAAACTTTTAGAAAAGATTATTAAGTTTAATTATTAGCAACTACACACAATATCAAATATTTTATTTATTTATCTAAATCTAAGTGGATAAATCCATTCTATACCTATTTTGATGAAAAATAATAGATTACTCGTGAAACTAATTGACATAGAGAAAAAAACAAAAACAAAGTATACTTAAATTTAAAAGCAAAGGCAAAGTCTAATGATCTAATAGAGGCGCATTCCTTGCTCCAAAGTTAGAAGCCATTAGTTACCCATGTGCCGCCCACATTATGGCCTACTTCTTAACTCATATCAGTGCGGAGTCATGTAAAATTGAGGATTCATCTTAACCTCTTTTAAAAAAATTTAAATTATTTTTATATAATTGAATTTATCTCTTAAATATACACGTTAAATGTTGAACTTCTTTTGATTCTTCAAGTGAAACTTTTTATTCCATCACTAACTCATACACTAGCAAAATTTACTTTTAATGTATTTGATGTAACAGTGTCCCTGTCAATTAACTAACCCTTTAATTCATTTTACAGAGTTCGATTTTATGACATTCGTGTGAACGAGTTTGCACTCAAATTACTGCAACGGTCTATTAGTCAAATAATGATACGTTAATTTCAAACTTAGTAGATTCAAAGGCAACAGTTTAAATTTCTCCTATCCATTAATGTCAACGAATCTGATTTCGTATTTACACTACACACTTCAAGAATTTAACTATATAGCATTAACGAACTTCCATTTTGTGTACCTTTTCATTTATGTAACAGATCATTTTCGAATCCTTCAAATATAGTAATAAGATATGCGTAAACTCTACCATTTTCAACTTATATGGGATAACTTGTTGCTGTTGGGTTGTGGTGGTGGTGGTTGAGATTACCTACGCTTTGGTGCTCAACAATTATAACTCCAACCTTACAATTTTTGTAAGCAATATTTCAACTCGCCAAAGGGCAAGGCTATAGAAAACAAAACAAGAAAAATTAAAAATTCATTGTTGATTCAATTGAGAAGAAATGAGATGGAAAGCACTGTTATAAAAGTAGGAGAGGAAAAAATGGAGTGGTCATTATCTTAATGCTAAAACAATACGGGTAAAAGAAAGCTTTGTTTAATTGGGAAAGTGTTGGCAAAAAAGTCGACTATGTCAGATTGGCGTGCGTATCACTGCATCAGTGCTTAAAACAGAGAGAAAGGATATAATTAGAGTTTGGAGGATGATGATTCTTTACAACTTTATTTGCGAAAAAAAGAAGCCAACCCCACTTTCTAGTTTCATCTAAAAAGATAAAATAGGAGGTAAATAGAGGTAGTTTGTGAGTAGTTTGTTTTCTTGATAATCTGTACTGATTATTTTTTTTTGGGTGGAGAGAAAAAGGAAAAGAGGGTAATGGTGGTGGGGACGGCGGTGCTGATTCTAAAGAGATAGATTGATATCTAAGTTTTATTTTGGGAACATTCTGAGATTGGCTTTTTGTGAATACAGAGTGTTGCTTTGGTGGCTGGCAAAGATTAGGGACAAGTCATCTTTTTCTTGGTTGGTTTTTGTGTTCTTGTTGGCTTCTTTCTCTGATTGTTCATAGTGGGTTTTTTGTCCTTTGGAATGTCTTCTTGGATTTGTACCTCAAAGTTGTTCTGCTTTCTCTAGTGCTTTTACACTGTATTTACATCCTTCATTAGCCTTTGCCTTCTCATGAAATTTTTTCATTGCTCTTTGCTTCTTTCTTCAGTATCTGAAAAAATGTATGTTGAATTGGGTTCTTAATTTCTTCTTCTAATTTTTCAAGAAAGTATGGATTTGGTGTATTTGTGATTTTCTTTGTGGCACGTTTTCAGTTTGATTTGTGTGTTCAAGTGATATGTTCGATGTGATGCTCTGTTTGAGGCAAATTTTGTTTCATTTTCCTTTCAAGTTCAGAACAATTTTGTTGGTATTTGTGCCTGTTTGTTCACATATATGCGACCCAATTGATGATTCTTGTCGACAATTTTTGGTGGTTGTGTTCTTGAAAACATATCTTACATGATGTTTCTTTGTTATTACAGGTCCTTTAACTTCATTGGTGAGAGAAGACTATTTGAGTAGAGGAAGTTGTTGTTTAAATAAACAATTAGAGGAAGGGCGGTGGTCTAAGTGGTGAGCATGTGGCCTCTGGTTTTGAGAGCTTAAATTTGCATATTTTGAGGTATTGAGTCGGTTGGGTTGTATATCTTGGACTGGACTTTTGTGGTTGTTTGTTGTTGAGCTTACAACAAGAACCAATAAAGAAGCCAAATCTCCTCCTTTAAATCTTGTCAAGTTTGGAAGTATAGGTACTTCCAGGTTGCTCTTTCCTTTCCTTGGCATTGTTCTCTGCAAGTTTAGAATTGAGATACTGTAGGTGAATCCATACTTTGAGAGCGTAAAGATGAAGTTTATGAAACTTGGATCCAAGCCTGATCAATTTCAGACAAAAGGAGATAATATCAGGTCAATAGTTCAATCATCTTTGTGAATTTAGTTTATTTTTCTTGTCATTCTAATTAGGTATTTCTTTATTGTTCATATATGTCTTATGTATATTTTTATAGTGAGACCTTGTGCTGCTCATAATTTCTACTCATTAAGTTGCTGTGGACTGTTTCTTTAAGTTTGTGAAGTATCTGAAAAACTAATTTGCTTCACCCTATTTTGTAAGTTTGGGAATAGCATTTTTTTACTTCAAAAATAGCTCAACTACCAAATGACATCCATAGCATCATTTTCTCACTACATGAAATAAATAAAAAAGTAGAATTGTCCCAATGAGGAAGGAGTAGAGTGTATAAGTTTCCTTTTTCTCATCTATGAACTACACTTTAAAAGATTGGTTCATAACATAACTTCATTGATGCCAAAAGCTTTATCTCATGTGGTGTTTGTCCAGAAGCAACCCCCTCCCCGCTACCTCAGTTCAAATAGCTTGGTTAACGGAGGAACTTTTCTTCTAACATATTCTCTAGTTCCAATGAAATTTCTCTTTGAATTTTTTTTTCATTCATGAGAACTGACATCCTTCCTCTCTCTCCTTTAAGCCTATTCACAAAACCTTCTTACAAGCACTTAGATCGTATACCATTTACAGTACTTCGACAAAGCTGGTTTTCAGTGATGGCTGATCTCAGTTTGTCCTTTGTTTCGGCAGGGAAAACTTCCATTTTCCAGTCCAGCTACTACATATTAGTTATGTGCACTATGGTGGGGTGTATCATCTCGACATTTTAGTTGTATTTTTTTTTTTGATACGTAATGTGATAGCGATGTGTATATTTTTTGAGGTAACATCGTTTGAAATGGTTTCATCATGAATATGATGTATGAACTTCCTATTCAGGTATGTAGCAACTGAATTGGCAACAGATATGGTCATCAATGTTGGAGATGTAAAATTTTATCTCCACAAGGTATGCTCTCCATCTCAAGCCATATTTGTTACTCTTTTTTCTGCTTGTTAAACTAAAATTGTAATTTTGAAACACAGTCTTAGATATTGATTGACCTGATATACTACTAAAAGAGTAAATTACTTATCCTGTTAGCGTTAGACATGGTCCACCAATTATCGAAGTGGTTAATAGACAAAATTGATCAAGGTGCAATTTTTAACATACATCAGCCTGATATTGCAGTAAAAAAAAATTTCATCGATTTCATCTTGGCTCCTGCTTGCTGCTGGTTATTCAAAAGTATAGCCTAGCTATGAAGGGATTACTCTCAATGAGAGAGCCTAATCATTCATTTTATCAGTAGTTCACATGCAGATAGATGTGAACCGTACTCATGTTCATATTGTTGTCTGCTTAATATCTTATCCATTCGATACATTACTTGTTAATACTGATAGGATTATACTTTCTCCAGTTCCCCCTTCTGTCCAAGAGTTTTCGTTTACAGAAGTTGACAGCTAATACAAATGAGGAAAACAATGATGAAATCAACATCGACGATATACCTGGTGGACCTGCAGCTTTTGAAATATGCGCAAAGTTCTGTTATGGTATGACGGTAACTCTGAATGCGTATAATGTGGTTGCGGCTCGTTGTGCCGCGGAATACCTGGAAATGTATGAAACTGTTGAGAAAGGTAACATTATCTACAAGCTTGAGGTTTTTCTTACATCTAGCATCTTCCGGAGCTGGAAAGATTCAATCATTGTTCTCCAAACAACAAAAGTTTTTCTTCCCTGGTCTGAGGAATTAAAGATCGTTAGTCATTGTCTGGACTCTGTTGCATCTAAAGCTTACATTGACACCTCAAAGGTGGACTGGTCGTATACATATAACCGCAAAAAGCTTCCATCAGAAAATGGAAGTGATCCGCTATGGAATGGTGTGCAAAAGCAACAGTATGTTCCAAGAGACTGGTGGGTTGAGGACCTTTCTGAACTTCATATTGACTTGTATAAACGGGTAATAACAACAATAAAAACAAAGGGAGGAATGTCTCCAGAAGTAATAGGTGAGGCATTGAGAGCATATGCCTATAGAAGGCTACCGGGATTCAGCAAGGGTAAAATCCCAGGAAGTGATCCTGTTAAGTATCAGTACTTGGTTGATATGATTACTTCTCTGTTGCCCACAGAAAAACATAGTGTTTCATGTAGTTTCTTGATCAGATTGTTACAGACGTCTGTTTCTTTGGAATGTGGAGAAACAGTACAAAGTGAACTGAAGAGGAGGATTGGCCAGCATCTTGATGAGGCATCGGTAGCTGACCTCCTTCTTCGGGCACCAGCTAATGAAACTACTACATATGATGTTGACACGGTACATGAACTTGTTCAGCAGTTCATGCTGCAGAAAAGGAGCGGTCGGAGTGATTTTCCTGAAGATAATGAATTTCAGGAGATGTACCCTGCATTTGCATCAGACTCTTCCAAAGTCAAGGTGGCAAGGGTGATTGATGGTTACCTTGCGGAAGTTTCTCGAGATCCAAATCTACCTTTGGTGAAATTTGTCAATCTTGCTGAAATGGTGTCTGGCTTCCCTAGACCTTCCCATGATGGAATTTACCGTGCTATTGACATGTATCTCAAGGTATCCTTTTTGCAATTTTCTTTTTCAACCAATACGTTTTATAATCTGTAAGTTCTAGAGACTCGGGGAAAAATGTATTAATTAGTAAAAGCCTCTATCGTGTCCTTGAGGCGCTGCATTGGCACATTTGTGTGACTGGTTTATCTTGATGGACTCTGAATGATCATTTCTTTTTGACAGGAACATCTAGGAATCACCAAGAGCGAAAGGAAAAGAATTTGTAAACTAATGGACTGCCGGAAGCTATCAGCTGAGGCCTGCATGCATGCTGTGCAGAATGAGCGCCTTCCGTTGAGAGTAGTTGTACAAGTTTTGTTCTTTGAGCAAGCCAGAGCAACAACATCATCTGGTGGTGGCAGCACCCCTGACCTAGCTGGAACAATCAAGTCTTTGCTTCCAGGGGAATCCCATGGGAGCTCAAGATCTGCCACAACAAACACAGACGAGGACTGGGATGCCGTGCCTACTGCTGAGGAACTTAAAGCTTTGAAAGGGGAGCTTGCTACTCTAAGGTTGACGGACAAAGAAGTTGGTTGCAATGATACTAATTCAATAGACATAAAAATGAGTGTCGAAAAAGTTATTGGTGGCAAAGCAAAGGGATTAATTATGTCCAAGAAGCTCTTTTCAAAACTGTGGTCCAACAAAGATAGACTAAGCGAGAACAGCAGCTCTGATACATCAGAAAGCCCCGGTTCTTCCAATGCTGGGGAATCAAAGTCCACCCCATCAAGAAGTAGGAGGCATTCCCTGTCTTAATGTTAGTTGCAGATTAACCAATTTCTCCTAAGTTTTAAGTAAAAATTTCACCCCTTGTTTGTTGCTAGGGTTGGAAGAAGCTACGTCTGCCGCTAACCCTTGGAAGTAGTAGGGAGAATTCCTCCTATAATTTTTGAGCATTTTGAAGAATGTATTTGGAAGGTTAGATCAGCTTGGGACTGAATTGGATCCTCTTAAGCTTTGATAGTTTTTTCAGTTGTATTCAATTGTTTCCCAAGAGAAATATAAGTGACCACCTTTGTTTTAGGCTCTCTTTTCACAAGACTGGAACAAGCAAAGTCATTTATGTATCAAAATGTGTGAACCAAATTGTTTGGACTTGCAATACTTATGTTTCTTATGCAGGTGATTAGATAAATCTGGTGGAAATTGAAACATCTATGGGTGATAGAGGCCAATGTAGCATGGTCAAGGAAAGGCATGCAGGAACATTTTGTTCTTTTGCTTTATGCATTCAGTATTTGTAGTGGAAAACAAACTTACATTTTGAAGCAAGTAATAATACATGTATAGCATGAGTTAATCATACAAAAAGCTGACAAGAACCAATATTGATTATCCATATACAACTATTTACATAATACATAGATCTTAATAAAATATCATAATAGTTGAGGTGGATAAAGATGGACCTAAGTTCTTTCATTTTTTTCGTCTTTCCACAATTGTCGGTTACATTCCCTTACTTATTTTTTCTAACTAATATACATAGATTATGCATAAATATACACATATTATGTATCTGCTGGATATTTAATTCTAAGAGATTGAGCGTACGGCTATTTAGGTTAATTCTTCTATTCCTCTCAACTCCTAAAACACTTTGTGTTGTACTGTTGGGCCACTAATCTCCCTTTTTCTTACGGGTATACAGTTGGGCCAGTGTTTTCCACATGGGTATATAGGCAGTTGGGCTTAACTATTGAATGATAGTAGCAGTCAATGGTCCATCAACTATTATAGTACAACTCATCACTGAATGATTCATTTTCAATAGGGGTGTACATGGTTGGGTTGGTTTGGGTTTTTCAAATATCAAACCAAATCATTTGTGTCGGATTTTTAAATTTATAAATCAAACTAAATCAATAAAACTTGGATTTTTCAACCTCGGATTTTTTTGGATTTTTTCGGGTTTTTTGGATTTTTGGGTTGTTTCGGGTTTTTCCGGTAAAGTATTCATACAAACATATAGTTTACTCGTACTTCAAATATTTCTTTAGTCCTACCAAAATACAACTATCTAAGATGTTTCTTAAAAATATAACACAATATGATATGATTAATGACACTAAAATATCCAACAAAAATAATAATAATGAAATCGCGTAAAACAAATATTGCAAATTAACAAGTCATAATGAAAATGATCATAATTTAAAAATATTAAATCATGTTAAAA